AGCAACATGCAGGCTTATTCTTGTTTAGTGCCTTTAGGGTCCCTGGTGGACAGGGTTCTCTGCAGACAGACTTTGGCACCTGGATAGTCAAAACACATACTGCAAAATCTCAAATACACAAATAACTATAACAAAATTTAGTATTAATCTGTTAAAAGAGCAAAGTTTTATCAAAATTGCATATAATTACCTCATTTCTGTCACCCCACCAAACAATCTTGGCATCCTCTTTTATTTTTAATTTCTGTCTGTCAGATAGAGAATCATCATATTGTCCAATTTGTACAATTTCAACTGAACCATTTTCTTTAACCTGCCAGTTGACAAGGTCATACTGGGCAACAGAGTCACCGTTTTCATCAAAGAAAACTTTGACTCCATTCTTTGTTGTGAAATTCACAGACTTTAAGTTTTCCAAGACCTGTGGGAACACAAAGTTTAAATACTTAAAACCCAATTAGTAAAGAAATATTACCACATGATGAATGTAATTTTATAAATTTAATAGAACATACAAACTTGGGTTGGACTTCATTCTTGGTCACACAGGGTTTTCTTGTAGAATTTAAAGMATTTTGGCACTGCAGAATGGCATGCAGGGAATGTGCTACAGAGTACACAGCTGTGTATATATTATTCTCTTCTCTGAAATATGAGACTTGTGTGTAGTCACTGACGACCGTTTGTAGATTTTCTGCACCAGTGCACATTTTGGAGGTATTTGATGGAGAGAATCTGCAGCGAAATAATTTCTCCCAGAAAGCTTTAATTATAGCACTTTGTGGTTCATCTGAGGGCTTCAGGTTAAGCAGGAATTTACCAAGACCTGGTATAGGTCTGTCAGGGAGAGCAAAACCCATTGCCCCCTGCAGGATATGCTTTGTATTAACAGAGACAAGGTCCTTCTGTGTGATCCAGGACTCACTGCCAACCCACTGTTTTCCAGTTATGTTATGAACTTCCATTTTTGCCAGAAAGGATGTTGCATAAGATGAGGACATGAACATCAGCACCACGTTTGATGTGGACTTCCTCAGTGCCTCCAATATAAAATCAAAAGTCTGAGATGTCCTAGAGTACATCAGCCAGTATTCCACACATATTCCCTTTTTCTTGGCTTCCTTAACAAAAGATGCTGTGCCTTCTTCTGCATATGTGCTCTCAGAATAAATAATCCCAATCCAGCGCCAGTTAAAGTAGTCCATCAGCTGTACAAGAGCTTTGTTTTGGAACTGGTCACTTGGCACAGTTCTGAAGAATGTTGGGTATCGCGTTTTATCACTTAAACATGCACAGGTAGACAGGTGACTCAGCTTAAAAACAAGCAAAAGTAAAARCCATTGAACTCAAAAAGGTTGAACACATTTTGCAGATGACACTGCATGTTTTTCCTCACCTGTGGTACAGACAGAGAGCTGAGTAAGAAGTTTATGTTTTCACTTACTCCCGAGGATGAATGACTTAAGACAGCCAGAGTCTGACGACTACAGTTCAGAAAATTATTTCCATTTACTGCTTCAAGAGCAGCTCGAACCAGGTTTGTAGTACCACATCCATTGTACACCCTATAACCCAGACTTACTCCTGGGAGGAGTGTTGGATCCATGTTGATTTCTTCCACTGTAAAAATCATTGTTCTGGCAAACTTCAGCTCCCGATCATTCCAACTGCAAAATACAAAGTAATAAACAGACAAATATATTTACAACATATTAACTTAATGTGAAACACTTCCTCTAAGAGACCACATAAACAGTATACAATAGGAGCATGTTTACTCACTTTTCACAATATGAATAAGGAACTGCCTTGTAGCCATTATCTATCTGTTTCTCAATACTTGTCATAGAGAAAACCCCAGCTATATTAAAATCACCTTCTTTGGAGAATTCCATGAATCCTGTCTGCCCTATCAGTTTACATGTTTGGTTTTCTGACCTAATCCTTGCGAGCAGGGAAAGCAAGATAATGGTTAACCAACCCATCTTGAGCTACCCTCCCCTTTTACTGAAGCAGGTGATTTAAGAGCTGAGTTTTATAGACTTCTTTCATCAGGAATGTGATCCCCAGGCAATGAGGATAGATGCAGAATTTAAAAAACATAATTTTGTTTGCATGCATCACTAAAACAGATTCCACTTCCCAACAACTACAAAAAATATTGTGTAGGATTCTGCAGTAGCAATTTAATCAWAAAAAATGCTGTTAAATACTGTTTTTGTAGTATTTGCGCAGAGTTCAAAACAGTTAGACCAAAATGGTTGGCATAGTAAATAATTTTAATATTACCTGCTTAAAATGTTTTCATAAAAATAATGGTTTAATGTTGACATGTCAACTGACTTTCGATCAGTGGCGGCTGGTCAATAGGGGGCGCTAGGATGCCGCCCCACCACTAATTTTGGCACGCGCACACACACACACACACACACACACACACACACANCACACACACACACACACACACACACACACACACAAACAAATAAAATGTTATAAATGTTTCGAAAAATATCGTACACATGTTTTCTGATAAGTAAAATAATTTAGAGTTATTGATGTGAAAACTTCCATTTTACTCATGAGCTTTTTCGTGTTGAGTCAATTCAGGGTCACGAGCAGTTTGGCGCCCCAGACTCCCATAGGCAAGTCATTGTAAGATATTGGACATGCGCAGTAAGTCCCCAATGCAAAAGATTAGAGTGACCTGTGGCGCAGCTCATCACCGTCCCGCAGCTGACCTCTCGTATTCATTTCTCTGGGGTCCACCCTGTCGACGACTCAACGTCATATTAATGTGGCAGCCGGCAGGGCTTCAGGAAGCGGGGTTTGGAGAACAACAAATGAGAATGAAGGCAAAAACAACACAGTAAGTCTCTTATATCTAAACCTTTTCAAAGCAAAACATATGAGGAGAAAAAGTGTTGTAACTTGGACAGGATAAGCCAAGCATAATTAAAATTGAGCAAGAACGTGGTTTAGCATTAGGCTTGGCTAATTTCATGCTATATTAGTCAAGTTGTAACAACTGCTCAAAAATGTAAAGGTCCCAGATCTGAATGAATTAAATATTCTCATTGAATACTTTCTTCTAAACAAAGATGAATGTGCTGACAGCTTGTGAAATTGTTTGTCATCAGTGTTACTTTCTAGTCCAAGCTACTTCATAAGGGAATTAACTGTGTTGTTTTTCTCCTCCATTTTCTCGACTAGTTTCATCTCCAAAATCTGCCTTGTGGTCTGCCTGCGGCTGGCCGTCTCACTAATATGACTTTCTTGAGTTGTCGACACGGGGTGAACCCACTACATACCGCTTTGTGTTCGCAGGTCAGATGTGAACCCAGGACACCATATACTTTGCATTGAGGACTTACTGCGCATGTCCAAAATCTTCACATGTGTTGCCTATGGGAATCTGTAGCGCCGAACACAGCGTGACCCGGAAGTGACTCACATGAAAATGTTCATGAGTAAAATGGAAGTTTACACATCAATAACTAAATTATTTATTTTGCTTATCAGAAAACATGTATACAATATATTGCCGAAACATTTATAACATTTTCTTTTGTTATTTTCTTTTCTTTTCTTTTTGTGTACCAAAAAAATACGGGGTGGGGGGTGGGGGACGTGGGCCCCTATTGACCAGCCGCCACTGTCTACAAAAGTGTCAGGGCATGCCAGTTTATTGTTTTTTTTTTTTTTTTCAGTAAGATAGTAGTGGTTTTTTTTGTCAAAAAGCACAACTCAAAAATGTGTGTGTATACAACAGTGTGTTGTGAACTGTGACTGCTGTTTTGACATACTGTATGTCTACACTCAGCAAACAATTTAATGATTGCACAGTGCAGGGGAACTGCACCCTAGAAAGGTCTGATTTGAATACAATTACAAATATGCTGTAAAAAATGTTTGGCACCTGAAAAAAGAGGACTAGTTATTGTGGTCTTTATTGTTCCCTCTTGTCGGCCTGTCTTAGAATTTTGCAACCTTTACAGATAACTTATACACTTATTCAGTTTAATTCAATTCAATTCAAATTCAATTCAAAAATACTTTATTGATCCCAGAGGGAAATTAGGTGTTGTTGTAACTCATTTAACTAAAAACTTATTGTAGAGGCTGATGGTTGTGGGCAGGAAAGATCTTCTGTAGCGGTCTGTATTACAGCAAAGTTGAAGAAGCCTCAGACTGAAGACACTTTGTCTTTCTATGACAGTCTGATGAAGAGGATGGTCAGGGTTGTCCACAATGTTCTTGATTTTATGTAAAATCCTTCTTTGCACCATCATCTCCAGAGATTCCACAGTCGTCCCCAGAACAGAACCAGCCTTCTTTATCAGGTTGTTTAGCCTTTTTAGGTCCCTGGTTCTGATGCTGCTGCCCCAACAGATGATGGCAGAAGAGATGACGCTCTCAACAACAGACTTGTAGAAGATCTGCAGCATCTTACTGCAGACATTGAAGGATCTCAGCTTCCTTAAGAAGTACAGTCTGCTCTGTCCTTTCTTGTAGACTGCTTCACTGTTAACAATGACGTGCATAAATTATGCCAGAAAAAAAAGCCAGAGCAAGTAAAAAAATGTTGTGATAATCCTGAACAAACTTCTGTCTGATTAAAATGCATTTTAATAATTTACACCGGAAGAAAAGTCAAGTCTAAAATGTCCTTTAATAAAAGTGTACTATGTCACAAGACCTAATGTTATTCTTTTTCTTCTTTTTTGAGCCTATGTGGCAGTTAAACAGAKACAATATAGATGTGAAAAATGTGCAAAACACAAAATTATGTTGTTATGATTTGGTACATTATTGAGCTTTAGTAATGTTTGTTTTGGATGTGTGCTTACACATTTCTCCAAAAGTATTGAACAACTATAGACAGATCACAAACTAAAAATTTGCAGTTTTTCGAAACGTTTTACATTACATTAGGCATTCATTGTGTGTCTTAAAAATTAAAGTCATAATTTACATACAAAAAACATCATTAAATTGGATTAAATTTTTCCCATTACATGCCTCCTGGTGTTTTTCTCTGGCTTTAGCAATATTATGTAACATTTAGGGACAAAAATGCTAATCAGTAAGCCAAATGATGATGACAAAATTGCAAATATTTCCACAGCAACAGTGAACTTCCCAGGAGAACTGATATATGCTGGGATAAAGGTGATCCATACAGCACAGAATATCAACATGCTGAATGTAATAAATTTGGCTTCATTGAAGTTATCTGGCAACTTCCTCGCTAGAAAGGCAAGAACCAAACATATTACTGCAAGGATCCCTATGTATCCCAGCACTGAGTAAAAGGCAACCTCGGATCCTGTGTTACATTCTAGAACTATCTTTTTGTTGCTGTATTTGAAAACCCTATCTGGGAATGGAGGGCTAAACTTCAGCCACAAAACACATATCAGTATTTGAATCATAGTGCAGGAGAAAACAATGATCCTTTGCTGTGCAGGACCAAACTTTCCTGCTAGTTTGTTGCTCGGATGTGTGGCTTTGAAAGCTGTGACAACAACAATTGTTTTCCCCAAAATACAGGAAATGCAAAGTGCAAATGTCACACCAAATGCTGTGTGGCGCAGTATGCATGTCCACACTGTTGGTCTGCCAATGAAAGTGAGAGGGCAGAGAAAACAAAGGCAAAGAGAAAACAACAAGAAGCAGCTCAACTCAGAGTTGCTGGCTTTGATTACAGGAGTTTCTCTGCAGTGGATGAAAATGGCCATGGTGATCAGAGACAGGGAGGCCCCGAGTAGTGATAAAACTGTGAGAACTATTCCCATTGGCTCCTGATATGTCAAAAACTCAATTTTCTTAGGAATACACTCATCTTTTCTTTTATTGGACCAGTATTCAAGTGGACATGGTATGCAGTCTGATGCACCTGTTGATGAAAGAATATTTATTTTTCATTTACTTATAGAAATAACTGAATCACAAATAAATAATTTTAACCAATAAAATGAGTTTGTAACATATACTGTACATGTAACACCTAATACGCAAAAAAAGTTTATTTATTAATATTTTGTGATACACATTTTAAATTCAAGCCTGACTACCTGATGTGTTGGCTATAGTTCCATCTGTGCATGTTATACAATCAAAACAACACCTCGATTTTCCTTTTATTTGAGCTTTTCGCGTTCCTCTCGGGCAAACATTAGAGCACACAGATATGGGGGTCTAAAATAGATTAAATGAAGTCAGTATAAACCATACATATTAATTTTCTTTAAATGTGTTGAGATAAATATTGCAATGAACAAACTTGAGTTGAAAAAAAGTTACAGTTTTGCCTGTCCTCCACACTATATTTTCTTCTTGTATGCTGAGTTTGTAGTCACCATTTTCAGCAACTGTAAAATGACCCAGAGTCACGTGTTGCACCTGCCCATKTTTCAACTGCCAGTTAATAATATCATAGGAAGCAGGAGGGTCACCATTCTCATCAAAAAACACAGAATCCCCAAATTGATTCCGAAAGTTGACCCTTTGGAGGTGATAAGTGACCTGTGAAAAAATAATCACTATATATATA